TTGACTCAGCATCACTTGTCAGTAGAGTTTGTTAGGTCTCTCCATCCATCTTTTAAGATCCATGGTCTCTCCCTTGATTCAGGGTTTTCACCGGGTTCACGAGTTTTCCTTCGTTCTCCCGCCAAAACTCAACACATAATTTCCAATTCAACCTACTCAAGCGTTGCTAGTTAACCAAAATAATATGGGAGAAGGCTCTGGATGGCAAGAGTCTCTGCATTTCCAAGGTATGAATGCAAGAATACCAGTCCTCAGTACTCAAAAATACACTTGAATTAGACCTCTTTGGCGTGATATTTTCCATTTTAGACCACGTGTCATTCTCTATTGTATAACATTGGTAAAGTTTGAGTTGTATCCATATTCATGTGTCTTTCCAAACTTTTCTAAGAACGGCTTCAGAGGAGACTAATACATATCCATTAAAAAAAGAAATGATACTCTAGGGAATGACACGTGCGGTGAAACTGGAAAACATATCAAGTCAGTAACTCATTCGTGATTCTCCTCTACCTCGTCAGCGTGATGAACACGAACGTGAGGAACGTGAACGTGCTGTCAAGACAAAGATGAACGAGAAGCGACAAGTAGCGGCGCGCGCCCGAAGGTACTACGACGAGTACCAGCTGCGCATGCGCTCTAAGATGCTCAAGAGACGAACGCGGGAAGAGCAAGTAAGTTCAAAGCACAAACTCTTATTTGGTTAAGTCACGAGTTTTCTGCTTCGCGCATGCTCAAACCGTTATTTGCTTTCATTTCAGATATTTAAAAATCTTTTCCAAGAAGGTCTTGAAATTCAAAAGCAACGTGTGCGAGAGCTGCAAAAATATGCCAAAGAAAARCGACAAGCTCTGGAACAGCGACAAATGAACGAGATAGAATCACTGGAAAACTAGTATCCTTATTATTGCAACTAAATGATGATGATGATTGTTGTGGTTCTATAAATACGACGTCAACTGGAAGTGTAAATACTTTCTCTTTGGAATTCTGTTCATTSGAGATTTCATTCAGAACGATGTCAGTAAAGTCAACATTGTCAGTAAAGTCGAGAAAACTTGAAGGTCCATTTGCAGGTGTCATTACAAGGGCAGCACCCTCCCCTCAATTATTTTAAGACGCTGAGCGTTAGTGCACTGCCTTCCGACAGCTATAGAGGTTTTGCACCATCACGTGACGGCAGCCATGTTAGATTGCAGGAACAACACAATCCTTTTACATAAGAAAGAATTCCATTCCCGAGAGAAAAGGGATTTTATTGTTCTGCCATCTAACCACAGGCATTCCAAGCTGGATTATGGGCACCGGAACGGGATGGAGCAAAACGTCTATTTACACTTGCGACTTGTGTCGCCGTCGTAGATTTTGCAAATCTTAACGGTCGCCAATATCTCTAAGGCAGCGTCATCCCTTTACTAAGATATTTGTAAACTCGAAACGCTCAATAAGGGACCAGTCATTATTTAAGTCGGAGGGGGGGGGGGTGGAGAAGAAAATGGGGGTCAAATTTCTTAAGTGGAACATGGGGGGCCTTGAAGGTCAAAAGGAGGATTGGGAGGATTGTTTAAACGATTGAAGGGGGTACCCGAAAAACATGAACGCTATTAGGTTGGGGCCTGGAAAAATTTTTGCATCAAAAGCATTTTCTCCTCCACCCCTCCCCGCCCCCCTCCGCGCCCCCTCCGACTCAAATAATGATTGTTCCCTAGCTAACCGTAATTGTCAGGTTTGTTGGTTATTTTGCTTAACTTCGTAACCAGCTATAAAGACCAGTTCGCYATGTTAGCTGAGGGAATGACTCGAGAAAGAAATGAAATTAAAGTACGTCAAGAGGCACAAGAAAAGGTAAAGTTGTAGTATGCATATGAGGTTTTTCTTTGTTCTCCTTTTTTCTTTTTAATTAATATTCTTTTTTTGGCCCCTTTTTTGTCTTTTTTTATTTGTTTGTTTTGTTTTTCCTTTTCTTTTGATTTTCTTTTTCCCGTTTTTTTTTCTTTTTTCGTCTTAATACGAAATCATTTATTTACTGTAGATTACAATTATTTTCGGGTTTTTTCCCCTTTTTTTTTTTCGCCTTTCTTTCGTGTATTTTGTTTCCATTTTATTTATTTTTATTCCATTTTCATTCTTTTTATTTCCTAACTATGCCAATTTTTCATTTCTTCATATTTCTTTTATCATTCATTTTTTGCTATTGTTTTCTCTTCTCTTCCCTTTCTTTTACTTTGTCTTTCCTTTCCTTCGTTTACTTTCCCATTCTCTCCTACCTTTCCTTTCCTTTCCTTCCCTACCCATATCTTTGTTTCCCGTTTTTTATTTGCTATTTCAAGGAGTCTTTGTTTTAACTCCCTGAGGGAGAGGAGGGTGGGTACCACAAGGGATTTATTGACCTATCTGCAGTAGGGTAAAATCAAGAGAATATGAACTAAGCTCTTAGTTCATTTTCTCCTGGTAAACTTCTTAAATGTCGATCTGGGCCAAGTTGTACGAAGGGTGGATAGCGCTATCCGTCGGACAAATGTTATCCAGTGGATAAATTTATTGGATAACAGCATCGACTTATTCACTGGATAAGATTTATCCGCCGGATAGCGCTATCCAGGCTTCGTGCAACCGGGCCCTGGACAATACCTTACGATCTTTCTCTCTCTCTTTTTTTTTTAGGTCATGAGACAAATGCGTCGCGAACTCCGTCAAAAAATGGAAAAAGAAATCCGTGATTTCCAAGAAAATCTAAACAGAGACGAAGA